CTCTCTCTCTCTCTCTCTCTCTCTCTCTCTCTCTCTCTTTCTCTCATTCGTTTCGCGTCGACTTCCTTTTTTTCCTCCGTAACTATGCAGTCTGTATCGATCGGTAGTACCTACAGTACAGCCGGAAGAGACGAAATTACTACGCGGTGTCTCCCGGTCGGCGCCGAGATCAAACAGAAAAAGCCAAAGAAGTAACGAACGGTGAACTATGACCAGTAAACTCTGTACCATACTGGAGGGCTTGCACAAATGGACAAAGATGGGACAAGAGAGAAGGAAAAATGTAACTAACTTATTCTTTTTTCTTTATACTGAAAACGTTGGCTATGTTCGAGGACACATCAAACATAAATATATGTTATAGTAAGTTCTGCATTTGATGTTGGTAAAGCTGAGGTTTGCAAAAAGGATTATTCCAATCAAGATCTATTAGATAAAGACAGATATGGCTTTAGCTCTCTGCTTTTCTCTCTGCCTGGTCGTAAAGTATTGGAGTTCTCTCTCTCTCTCTCCCTCCTTCCTCTCTCTCGTTTTTCCAGTATAATATAAAGTGCACTGACTCACGATCAGTCAGATAGGAGATCGTGGAGTAAAAAGAAAGTGATTTCGTATGTGCAGCCTTCAATTTTCAGTGACATATGTATGTTATAGAAATTTTGAGTATTATTAGAATCCATGTGAGATAAAAATGCAGGAAAACAAAGCATATACTACCATCTTCTGTAATCTTAATTAATAAATGTAAAGTAAATGAATTTATAATAAATCTTGAAAAACTACGAAATTCGATGACGTAAATATATTGTGTAATGAAATTATGTTGCACCAAAGCACGAACTTCGAGCCGTGCGCTCGATTGCAGAATCTTTATACGAATAAGACGAGAGTCTGTGTCTGTCTGATTGACGGTCATGTCGCTCCTTTGAGTCTCGTTCCTGATTATTGATAGATATACAATTATTATTGCACATCGCGTACCAACGAGGGTTTCCTGTGTTCAAATTTGCGCACGACTTACTTGCTCGAGCAATTGCGAGCCGTTGTCGTGCGACCAGTTGTTAGTGTCGTGGCACACAGAAAAACCTAAGCAGTAAGACCTAAGCAGTAAGAAAATTACAATCGATTGTTCTTGGACTGTAAGGAGAAGGATCGACTGTGGTTGATAAATTTGCTTACTGCTCAAGTTGTCCTGTGTGTGTTTCCGATCTTATTTTAGTGATAAAAATGTTACACTCACCATGACAACATGTGTAATGATAATCGCAAGATTTCCGATCAGTTCTCTTAGAATGACAGAGTGACGGAAGTCCGGACAAGAGACGAAGAAATTGTTCAATCAGGCCACCGGTGGGGCTCTTGGCTCGCGTGGGCGAGCTGATTTACGGGCCGAGATCACCTTTTGGCACGTTGCAAAGTCTATTGGCAATGTTCGTTCTATTCATCCGTCCTCTGTCGATCCCCGTTCGAGTCCCAAACGCGCTACACACTAAGATCGTTTCCTTGACGAGTCGATTAGATAAATTAGACAGAAACCGCGTGGAAAAATGGCAGTAGTTCTTAAGAAATTTGTTGTTGTGGCTGTTCGATTTGATTATTCCTCTCGCGTCACTTTCGGTTCTTCCTACGCCGAATTTCCGGACACGCGCGTCCACGGCGAAGATGAACACACCCCGGGGTGCGAACCCATCCGCGCAAGCCGTCATTAATTACGACATGAATTATAGGACAAGCCGACGAGCGGATGCTTCGCAAATTATTTTGCCAATCAATTATTCCCGCGGTCATGCCGCGCTCTCGTCAGAGGTACTCGAACGCTGTCCGAGCCACTCGATACGTCGGAATAATCGATCGGCTGAATAATTTGCTTCTATGATTGGCCGCTCGTGTAAATTACTCGAATGATCGCTCTCGCGTCGATAAGGGCGTTGAGCGATATCCGAATCGAGTATCGATCAATATCCGTGGCAGGAGCGCCGATGATTGAATCATCATCGGTGGATCGATGAGTTTTGACGCGCGCGACGATCGCGGGACCGTCTACCCCGACTATGGCCGACTGGGCCTTGTCGACGGATTCCCGAGGACTTGTTCGCGGCGTCTCGCGGCTGCACAAGTGGACCATTTTTAATTCGGCGCGTAGCTCGACTCGAGGTCCGTTGTCGGATCTTCGGCGAGGCGAGAACGCGGAAGTATCAAAGAAGCGTGCGGAGAGGACGCTCGACACGCGTTTGATATACTACTATGTGTGTACAAAGAGACTGTCCCCCCCTCGCCGTATCAACACGAACGCGCGCGTGAGAAATTTGTTCCACATTGTTCGTGTCTACGGGTGTGTATGTGTGTGTGTGTGTGTGTGTATGGGGTATGTATGTGCCGCGCGAAAGATACACGCGCGTGTCCATAGGTGTGTTACATCGATATAAGTATGCCACGTAGATGATACTTGGTGCTGGTACATGTACGTATATGTATCATGCCGAACGTGTGGATGTATAAGTGTGTGAATTGCGTGTATCTCGGTGTTACGCATTTCCTCGCGCTCTGTAAACGTCTTCTTATATAAAACGGCAGTTCGGGCAGTTCGACGTCTCGCCGCACGACTCTAGCCTTACGTATGAAACCAGATTTACAAAAATACAGATGCGCGTGTTTTTCGCGTATTTGGCACTTTTTCACCTCTCTCTCGCCCTACCTCCTTCTCCTTCTCTTCCTCCTTCTCCTCCTCCTTCTCCTCTTCCCTCTCATCATTCTCCTCAGCTTCTCTTGCTCGTCCTGTCTTTCGCTCTTTCTTTCATTCTTTCTCTCCCTCCCATTCTCTCTCTCTCTCTCTCTCTCTCTCTCTCTCTCTCTCTCTCTCTCTCCCTATTTCTTTCTCTCTCTCTTTCTTTCATCCTCTCTTCCATACTCAACCCCTTGTTTTTTCCACATGTATACGACACACGCATACACGACACAACACACGCTCGCTCTACCTCACTATTTCGCTTCCTCGCGCAAGCTCTTACTCTCGTGTACATGCGGTCGCACGCCCTTATCTCCATCCTGAAGGGTGGTCGGATTAGAGTTCAACAGATCCGCCTCTTCGAGGAGGGGAATGTATATCCTACTCCGCGGATTTAACCGTCACCCGCTGGTATCGCATCCTCCTTCTCGTCATCGTGCGTCCATCCACGGAGTAGTTACCCGGGACCACATGTTTTTAGCACCAGCGATCGAGAGAGGGTCTCTTCCACGTCGACGCGAAAATCGGCAGTTTCGATGATGGGCGGCCGCGGTGAACGGCATCGACATCGTCGGCGACAACGACGACAGCGACGACAGCGATGACAGCGACGACAACAATGACAATGACGACAGTGACAGCAACAACGACAACGACAATGTCGGCGACGGGGACGACAGCGGCGTCTCCGACGACGACGACGACGACGACGACGCCGACGACGACGACGGCGACGGCAGCGATGATGACGACGCGAACGATGCCGTCGACGCCGACGACGATGAGCCAACCACAACGGTGGACGCGGCACGAAGCCGCGCGGGATCGTCGACTAGTCTTCCTCGATGGCCATGTTCAACAACATCATCTTCTTCTTGGCGATCTTGCTGTACTTGATGTCAATTGGCTTCGTGGTGTCGTAGAGGCTCGGCGCCTGCAGGATGATCAGCATTGTGCCGATCACGCAGGCCAACGTGAACACCCACAGGAAGATCCGGTCGAGCACCATCCCTACGTACTTCCAGTCCTCCTCGACCTAGAAACAAGCCACAATGGACACGTACATGGTTAGCCGGATTATCTGGGAGTGGATTACCGGCCATATACACCGATCATCCTCTGGATAATGAAACGTGAAAATCCACAGTGAAGCGAAAGAAAGAGAGAGAGAGAGAAAGGGAGACTCCTTCGTGGAAGCCCTGATTTGATTATAGATTTTTGCCCTCCACCTTTCCCTCTCTTTCTCCCTCGCTACCCTCGCGACGAACGGAATCGAGGGGAATGTGCGTCGTATGCGCGCACGATAACGTCCTGTTTGTCGGCCTGGTGGATCTCGTAAAAAGATATGAGAGGGAGAGAACGAGAGAAAAAGGTCTTCTCTCCGTATCGAGCACGCGCCGTGCATGTTTAGTATCAACAACTCGTCACTGGGTGTATCCGTTACTCCTCGCCGCGACCTGTAGCCTCCCATAAGACGGAAAGTCTCGTTCCGTTTCCGCGCGATACGGCCATGAAGGACATTCGCGTCCTCTCGTCGCGCGTTCGCGAGAAACACGAGTGAAACAGATCGATCTATCTCTCTCATCTCTCCCTCCCTCCCTCCCTGTCTGCCTCTTGCGAGAGAGCGGGCGTTACAAGCGTGTGTTGACTTTGCTGGATTCCCACTGCGACGAGAGCAATGTACGGCAGCTAGACGATAAAACAGTCACCCGATACCTTTATGATACTTTCACGAGGACGATGCACTGGGACGCGTTACCCTACGCTGCCACTTCGATCGTTTTTCCCACTCCCCTCACCCCTCTAGTCCGTGTATCCCTTTGTCCTTTTCTGCTGAACTGGTCGTGAGATCCGACGCGCGAGTCCCTTTACCTCGAGGGCTCTTTTACCACGTGATCTCACTTTCCCGGATCAGCGCCCGATTAACTCGATTAACCGGCGATGTGTGAGAAAAGGAAAAGAAGGAATCCCCGAGCAAACCCCCCAATGTATAACGTGGGAAAACGCGGCCGTGCACGGCAACGTCCCCCACGATGCGCTCGTCGTCTCGTTTGCCATGTTTTATCGACGTGAAAGATCTCTTTCGGCCCCGATTATGGGGCTTGATGCGGCGAGATGGTAGCGGCATTATGCGGTTCTACTGAATCGAGCCGAAAACTTGGCTGCAGCAACGGGGATTGGCTCTGTTGTAGCGTCCTCCCTTCTTCCTCGGCCGTTACTGCACACGCGAGCGCATTTGCATACTCATGTGCTGTCGTACGATTACTTTGAAGCGCGTGTACGTCGCGAGACGTGCGTGCGCATGTGTGCGTATCTTATTATATGACGGCGTGTGTATACATATGCGATAAGCACATAATGCGTTCACTATACTATAATAGGTGTATTCGCATGCACTGTTGCGTATACACGGCTCCGCTTAAAATAATCCGCTGATACGGAATTTCGGCTGTAATTACGAATAAATGCGTAAAGAAATCAATTCGGCCAAGCGTTATTTCATCCGAGCGCATGCATATACACACACATAAATGTATGCACGCACACACTCATCGTCCTCTCGCACGCGCCCGTGTGTACTTTGGTATATATTTCGCGCAAAACGGGCGCATTTGGCAGTGAACGGTGCTTTGCCGCAGTGCGTTCCACGACATATACTTTGTACAAATAAGTTATGTACGCGACGTCGACGATCGGTCTTAAACCAAAGCTTCATTGAGCTCGCTTGGCTCGGGCCGCGGCATCCGGATATCCGAGGATCCGCTCTGGCAGACTACGTATCCGGAAATCAAGCCGTATCCGGAATCGCGAGATTTCAATTTATCCGTAGACCAGGAGTAACGCGCGAGCGATGTGTACTCTCTGTATAAATCATACTGCCAGGGCCCCTGTTCCTGAAATAGTTGCATGTACGCATGTGGCGAGCTGCGAATGAGCGCAATGGAAAATCCCTAGAACAGTATTTTTGCAAGTGCAACGTGTGCGCAATTTTTCATTCGCAATGCAACGAATAGGTCGCGTCCTGGGCGTTTCGAGAGAATCGTATACGTTTCACAAATATGTGAAATTTTAAACGTCAATAAACATGACAATTTTTCTTTTTTATTGATCCATAAGTGGATAAGTAGAGATCAAAGCGACCTAGAACCAATTTGGACTGACGCATAAGCAAACATGTGTTTTTGAGAAATATAAAATTAAATATATATATTTTTTAATATAAACTTTCAACTTGTGATGTTTATAAAATTTTAATTTATGTTAAAAAACATTGTAATTTAAACAACTACTTACGAATAAGAATTAAAGATCAAATGTAGGATATACCATTCCAATTGCGTACTTTAAATCTCAAAAACAACACATTATTAAAAAAATATAGTTTTAAAGACCTGAAAAAATCGATTTTTCTTCAATTTATCTGCTGATTTTTTTAGTTTTTTTTATTAAAAAAAATGTTCCCAAAAAAATTTGTAAAAATTTACACGTGTTTTAAATTGAAAATGTAGAGAGTCTATTAGAGCAAGCGTTGGAAGAGAAAGTATACATAAGAATAACAATAAACATGACACAAAGTGAGTGAATAACATAAAGTTTTGATTTTTGGCTTTTCTTCAAACAAGGGTAGTGTGAGTGACATCACACACACACGCACAATAATAAAACATAATAACTATTTATTAATATTATATATTAATATTAGAATATTAATATTTATATAATGAAATATTAATAAATAACTATTATGCGCTTTATTATAAGAAGAGATGCTTTTCGTTATTCCGTCCGAAAAGGTTAATTCACATTGATAAGGATGCAATGTAGGATCAAAAAATAATAAAATTTACTTCAAAATTATAGAATAATTTTTTTATTTATTTAGTGTATTTATGCGTACTTTCTTCTAATGCATGCTCCAATAGTCCTCTACATTTTCAATTTAGATTGTACATTATGAAATTAAGTGAAATTAATATGTTATATATTAATCCTTTCAACTCCGAATAAATTAGCAAGAACAATTTTTTCTCTATTTATTATTATTCCTAGTAATGTAAAGATAATATCTGATCTTTTTCATAATTTTTCAATAAACTATTTTTTGAAAAACTAAAATGCTTCAGAAAAACAACCTTTTGCTTTGCTGCATTATTTTCAGTATAAAGTATATTCTGCATAATAATAATTTTCTACTCTTTATACATCGCAATAATGCACGAGAATATTTTGTATAGTCCACTTTTATGATAAGTAAATGCAATATTAATAAATTGCAATTATTTATAAAATGGTTAGCGTCGAAGTGGAAAGAGACGAGTGCCAACAATTTATTAGTGTTTATTACTACAGCTAAATGATAAGATTAAAATGCCGCTTAAAATCGTAAGAGATAGTATCAACAGTTTACCAACAACTTTTGACAGTTTGGCGGCAAAAAATATCGATTAGTTTGGCGTCTAAATTGATTTGAAATACTGTTGCTTTAGGACAACGATGCGAAAGGATTATGGGATAAAACATATGGGATAAAACAACTTCAAAGAATTACAATTGAATATATTATGATCAAATATATAATTTATAATGTATAATATAATATTAATCAGTGCATAATCTTTTTAAATTCATATTAATAAGAGATAATTAAATGTTTGTTGTATATATTTTTGTGCTATTATATACTACAATTTTACACCAATTATATGACATCACCACATCACTATAGAGAGAATTTCACCTTGTGAAGTATTTATTAAAAAATATGGTACTCTCTTTAAAAACATATTCTAGAATAATATTTTTAAATGTTTTTAGTTTTTATTCTCTTCCTCTCTATAAAATTCTATTTTTCTTCTTATTTACGGTAACATAAAATGCAAAGGAGGCAAAAGACAAATTATGCACAAATAAATAAAAACAAGGTTAGTGTATTCTTCAAATAAAATAATTTCAAATAAAATTGGTCGAATATTCATAATCAACAATAAAAAGCAAAAATTAAAATTTCAACAAAAATAATATTACTTAAATTCCTGGTTACGTTAATATACAATATCACGTTAATATACAATAAAGAATATTGAAAATTAGTCAGTATATATAATTTAAGTAAAAAAACAATCAAATTGTCGGGACAAAATTTATTTTTTACAACAAAACCATTTTGTTCTGAACTTTTTTCAGCGATTTAAAGGACTGGTTTCTTTAACTATAGAACAAAAAGTGTTAAACAATAAGTTGAGGATAAAAAAAATCTAAAATTAAAAAAAAGATCTTTTTCAAGATTATTTCAAAATCAACTTTGTTTTTTAAATAAGAGTGGATAACTTTTATACTAAATCATTTGATAAAATATTAAATTTTACATAAAAGCGATCAAAAATATGCGTAGTTTAAAACTCATAGTTTACGAGATATTTGATAATTATTATTTATAGTGTTTGCATTTTTTGTTTTATACTAGTTATCTAATTATAGTACAGGACAATATTTATATAAAAAAATAATTAATAATATATATATATGTATATATATATATATATATATATATATATA